GCAAAATGCTTTTGTTTTAGTCAGATCAGATCCTGGAAAGAAAAAGTAGTGACTATGAAAATGTGTGTGTGGAATTGAAACAGGGGCCACAGTAAACTGGCAGTTGCATTCTGCTCCTCGCTCTAAAGTTAACCCCTTGTTGGCACGTTCCGAGGAATTTTCTGAAAACCATAACCCAGAGAGTCACAGTGGGTCCCAGGAAGGCTTCCTCGCAGTGAGTTTTTGTACAGACCCTACAAAGAATTCTGAAGAGGAAATAGCTCTGTGTGTGAAGCCGATGGTTGGAGAGGCAGACAGAAAAGACTAAAGACCGCTCATAAAATTATCCCTTTCAGGAGGAAGGGTCTTGGAGAAATGTCTTGATTCCTAAGAGGAAGAAAATACAGTTGTCCCTCCATATCCCAGGGGGTGGGGTTGGTTCCAGGACTTCCCAAAATCCACAGATGCTCAAGTCCCGTCTATAAAATGGTGTGGTATTTATATAACGGACACACATTCTCCCATATACTTTAAATCCTCTCTACTTATAATACCTAATCCAATGTAGACGCTATGCAAATAGTTGTTATACTGTACTGTTTAGGACTAATAACAGAGAAGTCTACAAAGCAAAGATGGTTGGCCTAACTACATAGTACACATCAGCAACAATGTGGCTTTTCCCCTAGTAGAGTATTCTTGAGTTGTGGTTGGTTAAAGCCCCAGATGCAGAACCCTTGGATATGGAGGGTCAACTATAATGGGAAGTGTACAGGGTCTACAGCAAAAACCTAAAGGAATAAAAAAATTCAAAATCCCAGCCTGCTAATTTTAAGGGTTTTGCATTAGAGTATAAAAACTCAGACTCACCACGACCATGATGTCATTATTAAAATACAAATTAGGCACATTTCACGAAGTGCCATTGAGCATATTTGACTTTTGAATGAAGCAAATATGTACTCTAGCAAGATGCAGTCCCTCCAATTCACAACCCCAAAGCCAACGAGGACTTGAGGATTTGGTAATCCGAGTTCTGAAGTAGTGTTGGAAATAGAGGGAATCCATTAATGTTTTATTTTGTTTATAATATTGGAATTCATATTGAATGATGACCACTTGATATGACTGATTCAGGGAATATATATTTTTCTATGAAACCCATGAATGTGACTCACAACTTCTTTTCCTCATTTTTACTTTCAGGTAGCAGCATTTACACAGATGCCAAAATGTGCCTCATTATGAGGCAGGTCTCAGTTTTAATAAGTTAGAAAACACAAAATACAGATCAAGATCAAAAGAGTCATATTTTTAGATGATAGAGTAACATCCTCTTATGTTTCTCTATAGCACCTTAAGTGTTAGAACTTTACGAACACTGAGCAAATTTATTACAGTCTCATCACAATAAACTTTAATGGCAGTATGTCTGGGTTATTTCATTGTGGCTTTAAACAGGATTAGAAATCTGGTTTTGATATTATAAAGAATTTCTTTGCCATGAAGTATAATTTGTTAATAGGTATTTACTGAAATGAAAATCACCAGATTAAATGAATGCACTGTCAAATCTTTAACATAGTACATGCTATTGGAAAACTGAATTATTGGTGTTTCCCATTGAAAAATATCTGTGAATATTAATAATATGATTTGCTTGTGTAAATCTGAAAAAGTAAAATATGGAAACCTAAGGGTTTCTATTCCTTTTTCGTTAAAAGATTAATGTAATGCATTTTTTTTTTGTTACACAGATTGGCCAAGTGTCTTAGATTACTTGAGAAATTTGTTTGTGGTTGCATGTCTACTTAAAAAAAGGCTTTTTTGTTATTTTCTTTTTCTTAGCATAAGCCAGAATACTTCTACCCTACAGTTCGTGTCCTTTGTTCTGTTTATAGTATACTTTCATCTGAAATACTGATACCAGTGTCTTGTTATTAGTGCAGGTGAGGAAGGGGAGAATTCCAAATAAATGAAATTTTTAGGTGCATGGACTTTGCTTTTTGATATCTAATGAAATTAAACCTATTTCCAGTCCCATATTTACACTTAATTTCATAGAAATGTTTTATTGGGTATATAATTAACAAATACCACAAAATGAAAATATTTGTCTCAGTGAAGATTACTTTATGTAAAAGGTTTTGACCATTTCAGTGTAATGAAAGGATTTCAATTTTGAATTTATAATTTACTGTGGTTGGGTTCATTTCTGTCAGTACCCTTCTCTGGTTTAGTATTTAATTTGAACATATATTTGCCTTTTTTTAAGTGCTCAGCCTAAACTTATTGTAACTGCATGAAATAAGCTTTTGTTTAAATCTTAACATTCTTGTAAAATGCTCTCTAAAAGGTATGCAGAATTTTAATCACGGACAAATGTATTATCATTACCCTATTTATAATTTCAATCAGCTTTTAGAAATGATTTCTTTATAATTATGAAATCAAATTGAAGATCTTAATAGTAAAATTGACATTATTTTATTTAACAAAGGGGCTAGGACAAAGTGATACCAAAACCTTTTATTTTGTAATTCAGTCATTCTATAAAGCCAATTAACCCAGGAGTCTTAAGGCAGTTTTAAAACATCACATTGGTAATCTTGTCTAGTCTAGCTCACTAAAGTTTCCTAAGCTCTTGCAGGATAGCAATTGGGTCTTACTGTTTATACTTGTGTTCAAATTTTGTTTTGAAGTCCAGCCTTATTATTTTGTAATAATGTGTAAAACTGTTAAATATTGGTTTTATGTAAATGCTTTTGTTGATCAGTGTCTCCACATCCTAAAAGCAAGATGTTTCTAGGAACTTTCTGAGGTTTTCTTGATTGTCTCAGGAGGCTTCCCCGACCCCAAATTAGTACTTAGCTCGGGATTATTTATGGACAGCATTCCAAAATGTAAGCAATGCCATGTAGTTTCAGCCCAACTAAATCTAGGTAAATGTGTTTTTAAAATTTTTCCATTGCAATTCCGGATATTTTCACTGTTATTTTAACTTGGAGTGCGGGAAACGAGTTAAGTCGGCTCGCGTGAATTGCGCGTACTCCGCGGGAGCCGTCTTTAACTCGGTTCATATAGATTTGCGGTGGAGTGCGGGAAACGTGTAAACTCGGGCCGATTGTAACTGCGTATTACCAAATATTTGTTTGTAATCCACCCTTTTGGTGGATGGAACAAAACCAAAAGACAGAGCCATCTTATATTTTGGCGGGAAATTCACCCGCACTCCAAGTGTTAACTATGGTACAGTTGTCCTTTTTCCTCCTGCTTGGAATAGTGCTCTGTGAACTGTCTTCCAGCAAATTTGAAAGAGAACCAATTAAACACTTTGCTTGTAAGTGAAAGGCTGTGGAAAGCGGGAGCAAATTTTGTATTAGAAATGGCCACGTTTTAAAAAAGAAGCTCGTATTTTTGCAGTCTCATAGTCTTTCACATCAGCTTGACGACCACCAGCTTTTGAAATGTGAATTCCTCCTGCAGAGTAAAGGCCTCATGTTTATACCACCCGGAGCGCTGTGTTCCTTCCTGCCCTCCCGCCCGCCTTCCCTGCCACCATCCCGGGCGGGCGACACCCGCCTGCAGGAGAGCGCGGAGGAGCCGGGAGACTCATAACCAAAGCTCGCCCTGTCCCTCCGGAGGGAGGAGGGAGACGGAAACAGCCAGGGAGGGAGGCAGAGGGACCCACAGCCACAGCCTGGGATGGGGCTGGTGCCTACCCTTCCCCAGCCGGCTACCTGTCCGCACAGGAGTCCCCGCCCCGCGCCCCCTCTCATCTCAGCCTCCCAGGCCCGCCGCCTCCGGACCCCAAGGTCTCCCCGCCCAGCTCAGGCGGAGGGAAAAGCTCTAGTTTTGCGCGACCCCCAGGGACGGTCCCAGGGCGCGTGCGCGGAGGCGGCGCAGGGGGCGTGGCA